TATAGTATACTATTTAGTTACTAGTAACTACTTACGTACGTATTAAATTAATTAGTACTACTAATAGTACGTTACGTAATTTACTTTAGTATTAGTAAGATATATATATATATATATATATATATATATATATATATATGTATATATATGTACTGAAATTGTGTTGAAATTCCACATGAATTGGATGCTATACTTCATTTTCAATGTGCATATTACTGATGGAAATGGCAGTAATTCCTAAACTGTTATATGAATCATGCAAACGTTATACACTGATGTTTCTGAATATAGCTTAATCCCTTAATAAGGTGATTGAAATTATCTATTATGAGATACTGAAAAATGCATGCTTATGATTTTATGGATATCCTTAAATTCTAGAAATGACAAAGCATGAGCAAATGAATGCTTGAGCATGCATGTATGCAGTGCAACTAAATGTGATATACTGTGATACTGACCACTACACAATGGGTCACCCATTGATGGTGGGATACTGTTATACTGTGACTGTGATATACTGTGATACTAACCACTACGCAATGGGTCACTCATTGGTAATGGGATACTGTGTTGCCAGCAATCACTGACTGTGCTCCGACTTCAATGATAGAAATGGGGTCGGCCCCCTGAAACTAAATGAGTACTACGCATTGAGTCACCCAATGGCAGTGTAACGCCCTCTCGCTTGAAGGCATAAGGAGTGGGTCGGGTCTTGTAAGGCCACTGTCTATCGAAAACCCCAAGCGCGCTGAGGATTGTGTGCGTGAATGAGGACATTGTGAAATGGGATACCCATTTGTCATTGTCCTCTCTCCTGAATGAGGGTAGAAGTTTCAAGTTACAAGATTGACTTGGCCTGATAGATGTGACTTTTACTTCGAGAGTAGACAACTCTAGACTTTGTCTGTGTGCTTTGTGTGTTCTTTCTGGGTACTGACCTGTTACTGTGATAAGAGGTGAATTAACTGTTAGCTCGTGCAATATGTATTGCCCTGATATCTGATTTATACTCCATTTTACATTGCTAATGAATTGTGATGCATGGCTTCACTTTGTGACGCCTGTTTTAATTGTGGGCCATACCATTATATCATTACATATGTATGGGCCGGAATGCAATGGTACTGATCTACTTACTGGGCTTTTAGCTCATTCTTTCTCTTTTTCCATCTGTGCAGAGTGATAACCGACCATTCGAGAGTGGACAGCTGGATAGTGGTGGCAAGCATTTAAAGCTCGGGACTTAGCAAGGGAAACTTTTTGATAGTAGGTGTCTGCTGGTATGCCACAGTGTTGTTTAAATGTGATACTGTAATTTTTGTTGTCGGGCCTGTAGTGCGTTGAACAAAATTGTAAAGAAATTTTTTGGAGAATGCATATGAATAAAATGGTTTTATTTGGTTCAGTTTTATGGGGCATGGTGTATGAGTTCTTATTTTCTTTCGTGGTTTTCTTTGATACCGCTTTTCTAAAACGTATTGAGCCACTTCCACCTATGTTACGCTCGCGACTTCCGGTCGTCATCCCGCACCCTGCGCCCTCTGGTGAGTATGGTAGGGGTCAGGGGCCGGGGTCGAGACATGAAATCATACAAAATGATGTTCTATTTCGGCTGAAATTTTCAGTTTGGCAAAATTTTTGAACTTTTTTTTCTAAAATCACATACCCAACTCCATTTCTTCAAAAATCGAGCAATAAAAATTAGTTAATCCCATAAATTACACCCAAAATCATATGAAGAACAATATGAGCTTAAAAAACTCTCTGAAATAATTCATAAAGGTACTTTAATTCATCTAAAATTGATTGTTTGGCGGGAAATAAAAAAAACCTAAATGTTCTTCAGAAACAGTGACTCGAACTAAAAAATCCACCTCAAATCGAACAAAATAGACAAAATTGGATACATTTTATGATAAATAACATTATAAACAAATTATTTGCTAAAAATCGATTACAATCGATTAAATGGCGGAAAAAACGAAGTTCTTACTTGTTTTTCTACAACCGTAACTTCAAACCCAAATTTGACTTGTAATCCACCAAAATAATCGCAAATAGTGTATAATTGTTTCTCAATAACACTCTCAAGAGTAATAATCCTCTAATTTGATAAAAAATAGTATCTGATTTCGTTTGAATTCTAACAAATGGTGGATAACCTAAAAAAAATCTTGTTCTTCACAAAACCGATGATTTGTGATCTAAATTCGAGCTCTCAACTCGAATATAACGATCAATAAGTTGAAAAGTGATAGATAAAGCCTAAAATATTTGATCCAATGCCTGTAGAAGCAAAATATTCAACAAAAAAATCCAAATTTCGATGATTCTTCTAACTTTACATTGATCACTGTGCTTACTACAGTAACTCGGGTGGTTCATTGCTCCGAATCGTCCAGTTCTCTCTAGACACGGACGAGTCTACGCATTATGGTGGAATAGACATAGAGGTGTCAATTCCCGTATCCAACCGAGAGAGTTCGGTTGGACTCGACGACTTTTGAAAGACTGATCACTACCATATAAGATCTTTCCCTTTTGACCGTGTAAGATGGCTTAAATTAGTTGTAAAATTTGAAAAAACTACATTCATATATGATTTATTTAACGTTATTTAAAACTTCCACACAATTTACCATTATTACATTTGTACTCAATTTTTTTTGTATTCCAAAATTGCCCATATTTCGGATCTTTAAGACTTGAAGTTAATAAAATAAAAAATTTCAGACCTTCAAGATTAGAAAGTGCAGATTTTTCTATCTTGAAGGATACTTGAGCCTCTTTTTTTTTTCCCTCACAAATGTTTTTTGATTTTCAATGTTTGAATTTAACAAAAATACAAGATCGGGCAGGCAAATGCAATTTTTTAAGTAAATTTCATACTTTTAAAATCTGAAACTGTTTTGGGATACTAAAATGCAATTCTTTTATTTTTGAAATCAAAACATTCAATTTTCATATAAATTTTGGATTTTCAAAATCTACAGTTATCGGGACTCTAAAATTCAGTTTATATTTAAAATAAAAATTTCAATTTTCAAATAAATTTTTTATTTTCAAAATCCAAAATTGTTGGGAGACATTATTGGGGTAAATATAATTGTTGGGACACTATTTTTGGGGGCCAATTTTTTGGATTCTCAAAATAAAAAATGTAATTTTCAATTAAGTTCCATATTTTCAAATTTTAAAATTGGTAGGACACTTTTTTTGAGTAAATAAAATTGTTGGGTGTGAATTTGTTTTTACAAATTTCAGATTTTTTAACTCTTATAATTTAATTTTTAAATAAATTGTGGATTTTCAAAATTTTTAAAATATTGGGGGATGCTAAATTATACTTGTAGGAAAACAACAAGACCACAAATGAACGACTATTGCTCATAACTTATTTTATTTTAGTTATTTTTGCATTTGCAGGTGTGATGAATTTTTTTCCCCTCTTTCCTCTTAGGTCTCTTAATTTATTTTTACTTTATTTGTTGTTGCATTTACAGGTTAAAGTAGAAGAACAACCAAATATTTCATTATTTGTCTCAACTATACCCTATTCTACATTTTGGTTAGTTATATTTAGCGCATATGGTACATTTCGTAAATTAAAGAATTCACTTTGAAATTTTTATTAAATTCGGATAGCTTAAAATTCAACTAAAATTTAGACCAATTCAATGGGGACTCTTTTAGGGTTTGTACATAAAAGTCAAGTTCGTCAATAAACTCATGCCTCAATGTCTTGAGTTCTTCCAGGTTGGGGATTGGGTCCTTGCCCAATGAGGGTTCTTATCGTGGGTCACTTTTTCATATGACCCATAGTTAAGTCCAAACTTGTAATCTTGTTCACGGTTTCAAGGGATTCATTTTGCCTGGATGAGTGGTAATCAGTTCCCAGTTATTAGTAATTAAGGGCCGGACTCTATGAGTGGTAATTAGTTCCCAGTTATTAGTAATTAAGGGCCGGACTCTATATTTTTAAGTAGAAACTTATATTACAAGATTATTTATTTTTGGTATAAGATGATCACAATTAATTTTGACTATTAGATATGAAATTAGATGGTTGTATTTATTCTATTGATCAAGTTCAAACTTCAAAATAAATTTCTTCGAACTTTACTACTGACCCATGCTATTAGATTTCAAATCAATAATTGCAAGTAATCGTGACTTCCTTATATCAAAAGTAATGATCTCATAGTATACAATCTCTTTTTAAACATTGATTCCATCATATTGTCTCAAGAAAAGAAAGCAAGATGTAACTTTCACTATCAAAAGTTATGCATCCTTATTTCATAGAAACAGGACATTACAGAGAACCTACAGAGAGAGATCCAAGACCCTTTCATTACTTAGAAGATTTAAAACTAAGCAAGAACAGGTTCAAAAGAAGTGAGATTCATGAATTTTAGCCATGGCTTCTCCCACACAATGGCCTTGTAAACCCTCACAAATGGTTCTTCAAAAGCCTGGATTGCCAACTTATAATTCGCCCCTGCTACCACTTGTTCCTTTGCTTCGACCACAGAGATGAAAGATAACTTGACTCCACTCCGTTTATTGTAAGTGGATACAGCATATTTGCCCAGATCTTGAATGTGGGTTTCGTTGGGCTGCACTTGCTTGTACCCTCCAACTAAAGGCCCAGTTGCTGAGGCGATGGCAAATGCTGCCAACAAGTGAGAGAAACAGATAAAGAAGAGCTGGTGTTGGGCTCCCATGTTGCTAGAGATTGGGCTTTCGTTTTTTGGTTCCCTTAATAGAGAGATTAATGGCAATGGTGGTAGAGTGATTTTATTCACCTTTTTTTTTAGAGAGAGAGATTAAAGGCAATGATGGTACATGATTCTATGCACATGTTGACATAAACTATAAAACTCATTGGGTCATTATAGTGAGTGTGGATAAGCATGAGTAGCGGGTCACTTCATCTCTGTAGGGAGGCGAAAAGTTAAGGTCATGCTTGAGTGATCCGTGAAGGAAGGAAGAGAATCAATTATTGGGGTCTTAAATGGCATTACTCAACAGTCAAAAGAATACATTGTATACTGTAGGTCAATGACTTGATCGATTTAAAAAAGGAAAATGGTTTGGTAGGGCTGCAGCTCTACCAAAATAAACAAAACCACATTTCATAATTCATCAAAAATTACAATTCAAGTATCGAAAACCTGTATATCGTTTATCTCGGCTTGAACATACTAGTCGTGTAAAAAAATTAGGATTTTAAGCTCTAAAAATCATGTATATTATGACATATTATCTAGACTATTTATTTTATCTTAAAAATAATTGTTCATAGATCCACAAGATCTTATACTATTTTTTGAGTTTCAAATTTTATTATCGGTATTGAAAATTGATTTAGATCGATTATAAAGATTTCCGTTGCTCAAAATATACTTTCTTGGAGAGGATTTGAGGTGCGGCTTTATTTTATTTTGAAAACGCTTAGACCCTAACTTTATCGTTTAAGACCCGGTTTTGGTAAGGCAGGGACTGCAACTATTATGGTGCGGGCACTTCATCTGAGCCGTCCATGTCGCCCCTATAATTTGACTCTGAAGGATGCACATCTCAAGGCGAACGCAACCGGTTGCAGAAAGCTGTAGTTAATTATGCTTCTCCCTGCCCCAAACAACCCCACCCACCGTAGAAAGTGCAATGGTTACCAACCCACCTCCATTTGCTCTTCTGGGTAACATTCGTTACATCTCTTCCTTTCTCACTATTTGAAATTACAAAACACCCCCAACTCTCTCTCTTGTTCTTTTTCGGTATCTGTTTAGGGTATTTTAGATATTGGAAATGTTAAGTCTCAAGGTGTTCAGATGTTGGAAATGTTAGGTTTCAAGGTCTAAGGACTGAAATGCAATGGGATATTTCAGATATTAGAGATATTAGGTTTCAATGTCTAAGGACTGAAATGCAAAGGATTTATGATGGGAGGTTATGATTTTGGTCCATTCTTATGCTCACCCCCAAAACGCACCTGAACAGCAAGGATAAGAAACTCAGATTGGAGGATTCCGGCAAAAAAAGACGGCCAAAATCAACTTGTTAAAAGTCCGGCGAGAAGAATATAATCCCTAAAACCATACCGTGAAAACTCAAAAAAAAATGGTATAGACAATTTTTGGCAGGGCAAGTAGGATTATTTTTCTATTTTTCACCTGAAACCGCGGAAAATGAAATGCTCAGTAATAGGAGAAGGGTTCTGTCGTATTTTTCGAGCGAAATGAATGCCGGAAAAGCCTCCTATGTTGCTTCTTCTCCCCATTCTTTCTCTCTCTCTCAAAGCCTATGTGACTTGCCCTTTTTTATCGATGTATACAGACTAAACGTCTTCAGTGTCGGGATGGGAAATGTAAAGTCTTTTCAGTGATGCGATCGGTATATAGCATGTGTGAACTAAACGGCAAATTTGAGGAAGCGAAATGCACCGGTAGTAGAGTCGTCCACAAGAACAACAGGAACATGACCTAAAAATTCTTGAACCAATGGCAATACAACTATTCAACATTGTTGACCTGGGCTACTTAAGAATATTTTTGTATTCCTATGTGTAACTAATATTCTTATTGTTGTACTCGCCTTTTTTATTTTCATAATTTGTTTAAGAAAAACATGTAAAAGCTTGTATTTAAAAGTGTAAATGAAGTTTATCATGCAACATCTGCTTCAATTATTGTATAAATATCTCTCTCTAGGATCCATGGTCATCCATAAATAATCGGAGGCTTCTCTCTCTCTAAGACGCTTCTATCACTCTCTCTTGCTTCTCTCTCTCAAACAAATAAAAATTATTGTAAAGCCTCCTTTCTGAGAGAGAGATAGAGAGATAGAGAGGGAGAGCGCACCAATGCAATAAAGTTGGAACTCTTATAGTTGATTTTGTAACGAAAATAAAAATTACGAGTAGAAAATGTTAATAGTTCATCTAATAAACAACAAAGTATATAACTTCATGATTTTCAAAACATTGATATTAATTGAATACATATAT